CCTTTGTCCTTTTAAGTAACCGTTAATAAATAGTTTTGCTTTAAGAAAGCCAAGTCTGTTTTGCCCAGGACCATGGTTGGTGGGTGCTCCCTCTGTTCTTGTCTCAACCCTCAGTCCCTTTATTATATTTTTCTCCTCTCTACTTTACTGGAGAAGGAGCGACTGTGTGAGTTTTAGTTGCTGGATCGGCCTCAAACCACGACACAGCCACAGCAAGTTTCTGCAATATAAACACAATATTTACTTTTACTTTTGCTGGAGCCTCAAAATCTGATGTTATTTAAATACATTCAGGAAAAGAATTTCTTTACTCCCAAGCTGTCCCCTCAAGTTGTTCCATTGAAAACTGCCACATACACTGCCATGTAGGAATATTCAGAGCTAAGACCCCTGGTCTGCAGTAGCAGACGGATATGGGCCAAAGAGGGGCTCAGAATACTGCAGTGCATCAAAGAAACAGCAGGATATTGTGAAATAGGCAACAACAAGATCCCACAAAAGTGCTCTAACATGCCTGTGAACAACTTTCTCCTCCTGTCAGAGGAAAACTTTATCTTCTACATTTGTACAAGTGCATTTTAGAGCTCCAAGTTGGGTATATTATCTCAGTGGTTTTGTCACTTACCTTGTACCCTCTCTCACAAGGGTGACAGACTGTTTGATTTTGACCATGTGTATAAAATACTCAAGAGTTTCATTTCAGAGTAAATCATCAAGGTTTTTTTCTGAGCCTAATCATTTTCCTTCACATTTATCAACCTGCTTTCCTATGATACTGAAGATAAAACTGATACTAAGACATATTTACTCATGACCTTACAACATGTATAGAAGGATGACCTCACTACCCACAGACAAGCATTTTCATCACTTCACAATCATCTACTTTACCGTTCACCAGGTGTTTAACGGAATTTGTCTTCATGTGTCATCTGGTACTATTTTCAGAGTGCAGCCACACACTAACATCAACGATTAACATCTCCAATGCTATCATTTCTGCAGCAGGTTTAATAAAATGGTAAAAAAATCACTTATCTACGGACTATATATTAGTACATTATTTGACTTCATTGAAAAACAAGTCATCACAAAAATTGTTTGAGATTGACCCAACACAGACATCAATGACAAGACACAACACAGAGAATCCAGCCGTTAGCTGAGTTTCGAGCTTCATTTTTTCTGTTTATCAAATCACTTCACCTTCAGCTGAGACCTCAAGGATTTTGCATGTGCTGAGGTGTGAACACGAGCTGATCTTTTACTGCTTCTAATGGCAGAACAGAACACCATGAAAAATGGTAATGACAGATGAAACCTGGGATTTTTAATCTTTATTTTCTGATTGTTTTGCAAATACATACAAGGACTTTGACAGAGCTTACAGTACAACTACATTTTTTATAATATCTCATTTTTTTTGCGTTTTCAGGGATGAAAGTCAATAAAATATAAAGAGAAACAAGTCCAATGTGATTATATCGCAGAATCATCATCTTCTTCAGGACAAAGAGTATCAACTCGACTTGTCTTCTGAAGCACGGTCAAGCAGAGGATGACTTCAGTGATGTCCCAATAAACCTTCATGCATACCATCAATCACAGAAGAGGAATAAGAAGGTTTCATTCCTCTAACACCAACTGTCTCAACTATTTCTGAGAATACACTTTACTATGAACCACACTTCCATCCACAGAGAGGGAAATACTTAGGAGTGCTTTAACTTCTAATCCTACTTTACAAATCAATTAAAAAAGCGGAGTCACAGCTTGTAGAAATTAGCTTGTGCAGACACATGACATTTTCATAACAATACCAATATTCTACCACAATATATTGTCCTCAAGATAAAAAAAATCAGACATAGAGATATTTGCACCACTGTTGTATACAGAGAGAGCCTGTTGTCCTTTCATCCCCAGTTTTCAGCACCATATGGACTTTCGCTCTCTTGCATTAACACTGATACAAATAAGAGAAGACACAGAACTTGAGTACATATGACAGTCTTTAAGTACTCTTCCACACTCTTGACCAAGTGTGATCCCCAAGCTGAAGAGGAATATATAACCTGTTGCACAGACTTTATCTGGTTATTTTTCTCAACACCCTTATGAGGTAGGAAGAATAATATCTCCTTTTCCAGTAACAGGAGACAAGGCAAAGAGCACAGACGAAATTTCTCAAGGCAGTAACTGAAGAACTGGAAAAGCTGAAACTTCTTGGCTCCTAATTCTTTTCTTCAGAAACAAAGGTACCAAACTCCGAGACATTATCAGGTCATTCGTCTTTTTATGGCCATATATTAGTGACAACAATGGCTTCTGTGCGTATGCCAGCAAAGCATAGTTCCATGGCTGAAGCAGCATAGCCCTGATGCTGCCCTCAGACACGTCTCCTGTACTTCATATATGTCAATAGCTGTTTGCTGTAATTAACTGATCAGTCCTACAACTAATGTAGCATAGGTAATTGCAATAGATCAACACTTAATTTATAGAGTTCTTTAAGACTTCCCCAGCAATTTAAACATAGATCTTTTCTCTGAGGAAGTTAATAGTGACTCCCTTCTCCTGTATAATTGTTTTTATACCCCCATCCTAAAACCAGCATCCATTCTGGGTGCTCTCTAGAAGAGCTATGAGTGATGATGAACAAGACACCTTCAGGGATCACATCCATCTCCTCAGAGTAGCTCTTCACCCATCCTTGGCCCTGAAGGCAAACATAGGCACCTTTTGCTGTGTACTGCACCACAAGGGCCAGAACTATCACTGAAGTGTCATTATGGATTAGGGAAGAGGCCTCTATCCAAAACCAAAACTGTTTAATACTGAACTAAATCAGAGTCACCTTTTGTTACACTGAGACTTTTAATTTACAAAACCTCTGTGAGCAGAACTTCAGTCCACCTCCACTGCAACAGAAACGGCCAAATTTTAAGGAAGCAACTTGTTTAGAATGAGTTAATAACATAGGGAATATACCTAAACAGAGAAACGAGTTAAACTAAAGCTAGGTAAAAACTAACTTCTATTAATCCTGGGTTAAGATATTCCGGAGCACTCTGATCAATGTAGTTTCAAGTCTTGCATGCAAATTACCTGTCAACCAGATCACTTGTGTATGTTGAATCATGAAATCAGCACTAGTCTTTGTACAACACAGTTTCTTCCCACAGGCTTAGCATCAGGTCTTGCTTACACACTCAGGCTATACAGCAGCCTACCACCCATTGGCACACACAAGTTCAAGTCATACAATTCAGTATTACAGGAGTACTTTTGCACTGGCATAAAGGTGCTTACAAAGGCATTTCATTTATTCCTTTCTGGTTACAAGGATAATCTATTCAGGTATTGACAATATCAAAGAATTGTTTAGAGTAAGTGCAACTAAACAAAATAATCTCTCTAATCAAAACAGTTTTACTGCTATAAAACCCATGTGTGGATCAAGACAGATTTTATAACTGTCCCATGAAAGAGAAACATTTCTTACTTTAGAATGAAAAAATGCAGTACAAAGGCTAGTACACGAGCTAAATATTGCAGGATTTTCCCATCTGGTTCCCTAAAAATGTGTTAAATTCCTTCTGTAACACACACTGACTATGGCGAATACCTCATCCATCTAGTATTAGAATGCCCTTCTATACCAATAGTGCTTATCACATGTATGATGGGCATATATACATACAAATTTATTTGTGCATCCACATTTTACATTTTCAGTCACTTAATCTGCTCCAATTCTGATGCTAAACATTATTTCAGGAATTATTTTAACTGAAGTGCTTTATGTGTTCCTATTTATATGAATGACAGAAACCATTATACTTTGATAACATTGTATTTTAGTAAATGTGGATTTCCAGTCAATTCATGTTCTGTTTAATAAAGATACATGGTGCTGATTTGGGATGTGAGATCCAATGCTGTCATATTACTTACTTGCAAAAATAACAGTTATTTTGTAATTAATAACAGGGAAAGGAACATCTTTGTCAAATAGCAGAAGATGTATGAGAGAATTACTTTTCATTTTGATTGTCTCATGGCGTTCATTCTAGTTATCCTGAGTTTGGGTTCCAAACTCTTCAGTTTTTGTCGACGCACTGATCGGCAAGTGGTGCTAACTTATTGCTTTTACCCTTAACCAACTGTATTCCCTTCAGAAGAACCTTCCAAGAGTCCACAACATTCTCCTCCCCTGTTTCTCTATGTAACACTGGAAGGACAGACCTAACTCCAGAAACAATCTTCATTTACCTTTGAACAGGGGCTGGGGAGAAGGATTATATCTGGAGAGTAGGAGCTGTTCACGTGGAACAACTGTGCAGTTACCAGTTGCCTGCATGGGGATGGAGATTTTTTAATCTTCCTCCTTTATACTAGCCCCATTCTAGTTTGCATGAAGGGGTCAGAGTTGGACTCCAACAGACACACATTGTGGAAACAGCAGATACATTCAGGGCTAAGGAACCAATTGTTTCCACTGGTACAAACAGTTTTGTCACAGACTCATTAAAAGGCTCAGGAACAGGGCAGCTTGTATTCCTGATGTCTCCCTACAGCTGCATACATTTGTTATAGACCACTCCAGAAAAAAAACCCACACTTTTACAGGAGAAAGGACATGGTTAAGTGCATAGTTCCAGAGCAATGGAGTGATTTGTAAGTTTAACAACATCAGGAAAAGCAGAGGCAATCATAAGTTTTGCATGGTCATTTTGTGAATTTGTGTCAAAAATGTAGTATTTGGCAGAGAGACTACAAGGCATTTTTTTTGACAATGTTCATTAACATATTAGTATAACATTATTCAAAAGTTAGGGAATAAATTTACCCTTCCATTAAAACTGGTAATGTTATGAAAGTAAAATACAATTTAGGCTGACAGTCACAGCATGAGTTACTATCTGGAAACTACTTCAAAAGCCCTTAAAAAAAAAAGAAAAAAAGAAGTAGAATTGCAAAACAGTCATCGATTTCTCTTCACTGAGCTCCCATTTGGAAACAAGCCTTCTGGCAAGTTAAGCCCAGTCTGCATTTCACGTTTAAATCTGCCTCATTGGTATCAGTTTCGGCGAAACCTAGCAAAAAGGAAGGAAAAAACACAACAGTTAGTATCGAGATATAGCAGCACAACCCACCGTTCCCTTCCGCCTCGGTTAACTGTGTGCCACTGAAGACTAGAGACGCTGTATTAATTTAAAGTAATGTATAGAATCATAGAATCATAGAATCGTTAGGGCTGGAAGGGACCTTCAAAGGTCATCTAGTCCAACCCCCCTGCAAGGAACAGGGATATCTCCAACTAGATCAGGTTGCTCAGGGCCTCATCCAACCGGGCCTTGAACGTCTCCAGGGATGGAGCATCCACCACCTCTCTGGGCAACCTGTTCCAGTGTTCTACAACTCTCAGGGTAAAAAATTTTTTCCTAATATCCAGCCTGAATCTACCTCCCTCTATTTTAAAACCATTACCCCTTGTCCTATCACAACAGGCCCTCCTGAACAGCCTCTCCCCATCTTTCTTGTAGGCCCCCTTGAGGTACTGGAAGACCGCTATAAGGTCACCCCGGAGCCTCCTCTTCTCCAGGCTGAACAGCCCCAACTCTTTCAGCCTGTCCTCATAGGAAAGGTGCTCCAGCCCTCTTATCATCTTCGTGGCCCTCCTCTGGACCCTCTCCAACTGGTCCATGTCCTCATCCACAGTATTTCATAGAATCCCACTGTCCATATCCACAGTATTTCATAGAATCATAGAATTACTAGGTTGGAAAAGACCTTAGAGATCATCCAGTCCAACTGTCCCTAATCCCCCATTAAACCATGTCCCTAAGCAGTTCATCCACCCTTTTCTTAAACACATCCAGGGATGGGGACTCAACCTCCTCCCTGGGCAGCCTATTCCAGTTGCTGACAACCCTTTCAGAGAAGAAATACTTTCTAACATCCAACCTGAATCTGCTCTGACTAAGCTTATACCCATTTCCTCTTGTCCTATCACCCATCACTAATGTAAAGAGCCCTTCCCCCACCTCCCCACCATCCCTTCTCAAGTATTTGTAGGCTGTAATCAGGTCTCCCCTCAGCCTCCTCTTCTCCAGGCTAAACAGCCCCAACTCCCTCAGCCACTCCCCATAAGTTTTATTTTCCAGCCCCTTGACCAGTTTAGTCACACTTCTTTGGACTCACTCCAGGAGCTCAATATCTCTCTTAAAGCGAGGGGCCCAAAACTGGATTCAAAACTGGCCCAAAACTGGATTTCAGAGATAAACACTCCCACAACTAGATGTTCTGATGCAGGAACACAAGATATGTGTGGTTCTAGTATCTGGCCTCTACACTTCATTTATTTTGAGTTGGGTTATTGATTTAAGAATGCAAGCAGATTAAAGTCGGACAGCTAAACTTGTACTTGTCCCTGCTAACTGCAGGGTCTTCTCAGATGGCTCCCAATGCCAACAGAGGGGCTAGCTGAAGTCAGCTGAAGCAGCTCCTCAATTATACAGTGTACAGGATGGTGCATGAGTGTAACTCAAAAATAGGCTGTGGCTTAGTTAACACACTGGCCCATAAATGGTCATAGTTTGTGAACAGTGGGGCTGCATCTGCCATGAACCGCACAGCAGAGATAGCCGCTGGTGGCCAAGGGCTTCAGCCTTCTCATCCACTTGCGTTCACGCACCAATACTCTGAATGACACAGAGGCGACAAAACAGGTGATATTCAATGTACGACTGAGTCGCCACTGCAGCATTAAAACACCCATGCCAAGGAATCTTAAACTGATGGTTTCCCTTTTTTGTTCAATAGCCAAGTTTATTCTGCTCTTCCTCCTCATTCACCAGGAGACAGGATGCTGCCTGTCAATGTTGGGTCTGTGCAGAAGTAGTCAACTGAGTTTTGGAACATGCACATTAGCAGGGGATATACAAACAAATGTATATGTATATTATACACATACTGTACCTATAGTATACGTATGCATTTGATTTGATGATTTGTTTGATGATGATATAATTCAATACTTCTAATTTCATCTATTTTTAAAAAATCTGCCTTCTTCCATTCACATTTGATTTGTTTGATGATTATATAGTTCAATACTTCTGATTTTACCTTTTTTTAAACTTGCCTTGTTTCATGCACATTAATTTTCACGTGAGGACACACTTACATATTGTATCGTTTTAATTCCATATACTCGTAAAGATCAAACAGTAAAGATACCCAGCAGACCAAAAATAAAACACAGTAAGCCTAAACAGGAAACTAGATGAGGAGAAAAGGTGTAAACGAGAATAATACAGAGAAGACATCGAAGAGTAGCAATGGTTAATTGAACCCTGACTGCAGGTCTACACAAATACCCTGAAGAAAAGCTCTCCACAGAAGATCCAAGCCTCTTTTAAGTACATCCTGCTCCCAGCCCTATTTAAATAGGTACCCCAGGATTAAGATCAAAAATGCCCCATGTGATCTTACTTGTTCAAGGTGAAAAACGGTTCCACAGATAATCTGGCTCTTCCCAGTCGATTAATGTGTCCCACTGAAACATCACATACTGCATTCCTTTTGCCTCCTTATCCCATCTGTTTCATTTAACAGTACTGAACAAGCTAATTCATGAAGGAATGACAAATGAGGGTCTTTCCAAGCATTAAAGCCTCTTTCTTTTAGAGGTGCAAGGCTGTATTTCCTGCACCAGTTAGATTTCTACGTTATCCTTCCTCCAGTCACTATGTATCATCATTTATAACCTTACGAGAATAGCCACCAAGGAAAGCTTAGCTCATGAAGAATGTGTTTACTGTATCATAGAATCATAGAATCATAGAATGGTTAGGGTTGGAAGGGACCTCAAAGATCATCTAGTTCCAACCCCCCTGCCATAGGCAGAGAAATCCTCCACTACACCAGGTTGCCCAAAGCCTCATCCAACCTGGCCTTGAACACCTCCAGGGATAGGGCATCCACAACTTCTCTGGGCAAATGTTAACGAAATGTTTTCAGTGGATGGAAACTGTTCATTGATCTTTCAAAGTTGTGCGTGAACTAGGATAATGTATAAATGTAATAGGTGCAAGTGTAAAGGAGCTGGAGAAACTCCAAGAGTGCACCAGCATTCCTGGACTAGTCCCAGAAATGTTTCAGCATTTCTGACTCCAAGTGACGTATGTGCCTCACCTAGTTTGGGGCTACTTCTGCCTCACCCAGAGATGGTTCCACTGAAACAAAGGCAAAAACTGCAGGATGAAGACAGCACCATTAAAATCTGTATTCTGCAAATGATGACAAAGGCAATTACTGGAGGAGATTACTGTTTTTCTGCTGTCACAGATTTTGGTGCCATCAAAACCTTGAGTGTTTTACATCTGAATGAGCATATTATGTTAAATGTAATGCCTGCACATCTGATGCTAACAGCTGTCACTTGTATGTATCACTATCCCCTCAGAAAGGGTCCGATCCCCATGAGTGCTGAAGTGTCACAATGCCTGCTGAAGATAACAGAGGTTGTGAGAGCCCAGCACCGCTCAGAACTGGCCCAGAATTCAACTGTTTGCTCTAAATGAAATGTGATTAAATAAGCAGAAAAACGCTAATAGAACAAAATGGATGTTTGTGTGTGGAAAACAAGGAGTAATCAAGTGTGAAATGCAGAAAGCCCCGAGTCCACTGCTTCAAATCCCAGCAGAGCCAGACAATTCAGTACCACCCTGTGCTGAGAGCACAGCACTCGATAAGAGCTGAGTGTGCTTAATGAAGACTATTTCACAGCACACAGCCACGGAGTTACTACTTTCTAACAGTACCTCCTAAGCAACACATTCTTAATTATGCTTTCACTTACAGGAAGAACAGCTTATCTTGGAAGCTTCAAAATACTTGCTAACATTGAATATGTAGGTGCACTGGGAGCAGTTTGCCTGGGCAGTCCTGTATGCAGCCTCTGAACTGGCAAAAAGACACATGGCCTCAGGGACTCTCTGTAATTCAAGCCTGTTGACTCCCTCTTATTTCCAACACCAAACTACCTTTTTCAGCTACACAAACAGCCCCATCCTTATTTCATTATGTTTCTTTATAGTAAGCAGTTCTTTCAAAGCCTGGATCTGAATGGTGCTGATTCCTAACAACTTCTAATGACCTTATCAGGTGTGCAAAAGCAAGTTATTGTCCAAGAATGTAAAAATAGCCACCCAAAAAAAAAAAAAGGACAACAACCAATGTTAGCATATTTGTTAAAATAATAAAAGTTGTTTATCCCTTATTAACTGTTAATTATTTGAAACTGCAAATAAAAGCAAACCATAATTCCAACATCAGCTTTTGTACAAAAATCTGTTCCTAATGTGACTTTTGCAGTGGGGTGATCGATCAGAAAAAAACACAACATCCATTTAAAATGGACTCAATCCTGCAACAGCCTTTTTCCTCAAAGGAAAATCTACCAAAAACCCATATCCTCTATTATTCCGTACTCACTGGCTCCGATTTGGACAGTCCATTTCTTTTTAAACATACACTAGTCAATTGCTATTCAACTGCTCAATGTGTCCTTGGCAGATGCTTTTCCTAAACTCCATGTTAACTTTTAAGATCATTTTGTAAAAGTGAGCTGTCAGATTAAGAACAAAAAAAAAGGGGGAGGGGGGAATTTTTACCCAGACAGACTTATCCTGATTATTTTATAATGAAATACATCTGCAAAAGTATGGTTCTCAGTCTGTTCTCTTATGGTCTCATCAACAGTGTAAGCCAGAACAAGCCCAAACAGATTACCTGCCAAGGTGATCTATACGCTAGGCAGCAGCAAATCTAATTTAAGTGTGCAAGATAAGCCAACACTTTGTCTTCACAGCACAGTCAAATTGAGGGCGAAATGTTTATTTTTTATATGATGTCGGTCTATAATGAAGATTGTTGACTCTAAATCATGTTTGCTTTGACATTTTGTTGTTGCAAATGTCCTTTAGATGTTTTTCCAAATAAGTAAGCAAACTCTGAAAATAGGATTGTATAGCCAAACGCGTCTCAAAGAAAGTCACAGAGGTTATAAAGTTCTCCTTTCCAGAAGGGAGTAGTCTGCACAGGCAGAGACAGATACACAGAGGCAGTGCCATTCCTTAAAATCTCACTTGTAAAGAACCTAGAGAGACATTTGGTTTAGTTCAGATCATTCACTGCATCCACTGAAAAAAGCTGCTAGAAAAGGGTCAACTCCTCATTTTCCACCCATAAGTTCTGTTTCAAAGTAGCAAAACATATAATCCAAAAAAACTGCTCTGACTGTAGCAATACAATATCACTAAAGTTCCTGTCACCAATATAAACAAGAACAAGATGTCTCATTCAGTGAACATAAATAATCACAAGCACAACTGTTACTCTTGCAAAGAAGCTGGAGGCAGAACCTTGAAATGTGGAAGAAGGACCAAGGATGCTGCTTTCTGAACAAATGCCTATCGCAGTGCTGAAATCTCTACTTTCTGAACTCGAAAACCAAGTGAATGAGCTGTAGGTGTTTGCTGTATAGGAAAATCAGGCCATCTGGGGTCCAATATTATGCAACAGTGACCCAGTCTTGCTGTCACAGATGTTAATAGAAGTTTTGGTAAGGATTTCAGCAAAAGGGGACTGGATCACTGTGGCCTGGAAACATTCCTTAGAGGAGGTGGGGGGAAAAGAGAGAGAGAAAGGCAGAGCTAGTATTCTTCCATGCCACAGTGATACCTGAAAAGGAAACTAATGTCAATTGTTTGCCATTTATTCTCACACTAATAAACAAATCACTGCGGCCACGCTTTCCATCTGCAGCGTTGTAGAGATTTCAGGCACTTTTGGAACTACTGATCAGTAGGTAACGCTGACCCACGTGCACACCTTGGCAGAGGTGTGTACTCTGCAAGCAAGCACTGCTTTGCAAGCGTTTACACCAGCCGCACGCTTGCAAGACAAGTATATGAAAGTGCATAAACGAAGCAGCATCTACATTTTTCACACCCACAGCTCCTTTAGTGCAGCTCATGATTTCATGCATGACCACAGCAGTCATACAAAGCAGATTGTGCTGGAGTCTGCCTTCAGGAGAACTAGGAAATGGTGCCTGTGAAGTGTCCCTTCCTGATCCTAGGGACCCAGACGGTGGGTATTGTTGCAATACCTCTGATCGATCGCTAACTTCAGGCTATCCTAAAGATTCAGAATGTATACCACTTCTTTGTAACGTTTACACGAAAACACTAAGGGACAGTGGGTGGTTCTAATCTTTTATTTGGTCCTAATCTTCTTGCTGTATCATACCCACTGTGCTGATGCGAAGCTTAATCTCATAGCCTATCAATTTAAGCGTATCACTTCTCTCTTTGAATTCTTTGGTTGCTTCTGCTTTCATTGCCTGGAGCACAGGTTGCTGGACTTTACTTTGGATAACACACACTCAAATCAATACTTATATGTTGGTCACCTGAACAAAAAAGAAACCAACTCCTTCCAAACAAGCAGGTTTGGAACAAGCAAGGACTGGCGTCTTCTGACAACAGAAGTCCTTTCCTGTAGTTTCAGTCTATTGAAATGCTTACTAAACATGGCACCTTCAAATTCATCATGAAGTTAATCCCCAAGTTAAATATGCAAGAACAAAACAAAGTGACTGACTGCAATGGATACAAACCTACAAGGTCATTTTTATGTTTTAGTTTTGATGCTAGCTGATTGACAGGCTGATCAGCCAAACAAAAAGAAGTCCTGATATTATCAAAGTTTTAAAAATTTGATCATTTTTTCCTAAATCACAGTCAGAAGCTGAATGAACAATTTATTTTGCACACAGAATTGCTGAATATGGAAGGTTTCTTCCACTGTCAATTAAAAAATAATAATGACTTCCATAAAACCTTACGTGGAAAATAAATAATGGAGCAAACTGATTTTGTAGCAGTTGCCGGCACTCTGCAGTTGCAAGTCACTTGTCTTTAACTGAACAATTTCTCAGATAAACTAATGTTTTTTTCAGAGGTGAAGAGCTCCTTATTTAAAATATTTAAAACTCCACAAAACTGCATACGTGATCATATTTAGTTATCAGAAAGGCTCTCTTACGGACACAGGAAACGAATTAATGTCAGAAGCTCACTGGTCAGAAAGTTTCCCTTACTGTCAACAGTATGCTCAAAGCCTTAATAACAAGCTCTCTCACACACTACCTGCTCTGCAATCTTTCCATTGTGTGTCCTAGCCCTGCCATGGAACTCTGCAAAGAGGAAGAGCATTACACATCATTACCAAATATTCCTCAACTATTTTTACGGCACAATTTGTACATTGCCATACTTGCTGTCCTCGCCAAAGGAGGGCTGACCAGCCCCAAAAGACTTCACAACACACAAGAAAAAATTTCGTATTATGCATGTAGGAGAAGGCCATGAAGAACCTATACGTTATCAACCACACATCTGCAATCAGTTACAATCTAGTGCGCTACAGCTTTCCATTAATAAGCCAGTTTTGTGTTTGTATTAAATTAATAAGCCAACTTTGTGTTTGCACTGAGACCTAAGAATGAATGTGAAGGTTAAAGGTAGTGGCCCTAACTGGATTAACACAGAGCCTAAGTTTCATTCATACAAGGCAATGGGAGAGGAAAAAGCAAAAGATATAAACAGTAGAACATTTAATTGATTTACACTAGAACACAGAGTGGACATGTGTAGTCACCTGCGTTGAGAAGGCTCAAAATCCCACCTAAAGATAGCATGAAAACTTAGCAACAGAAAGTTAGGTAAACTAACTTAAACAATGGAAAAATACATACTCATCCACCTCTCAGTTATGAACCAGCTTCCCTCTTCAAAGCATCATAAAAGTTCCCTTTCTACATTGACCCTTCACTCTTAGTCATTTCTCCATCTCTTCTGTTTTTCCTAGCTTCTAATGCTTCCAATACAATGATACTAGATTAGCCCTAAATTATCTTCTTATTTTCAATGTAAATCCCACAGGTAGTCTACCCAGCCCTCGTCTATAAGGAGGAAATTTACTGCGTCTACGAGTCTTCATGTGATGAGTATTTGTGCACAATATTTGTTCTGACATTAGACTAACTATATTTGTTTGTAAAATTACTTACTGTGAAGTCACAGCCAGTGCTTTTCTTGATATCATCCACTGTCAGTCCTTCCCAGATTTCCACAAGAGTCAACCCCTTCTTCTTGTCCACATCAAACACAGCCTGTCAGGTTCAAATAGCACACAATTCATTTTTTATTATCAAAGCAGAAAATGAGAATGTAAGTAGGAATATTGTACAAAATGGTGTGCTGAAGGAGGTAGCGTTCCCTCCGTAAAAAAAAGATGCCACTACCAATTGGTTTCACTTTTCACTTTTCTGACTGACCAATAAAGATTTCTGCTACATTTATTTCTACCTGAAAGAATCTAAAATACGAGATGTGTTAGTTTTGTGGGAACATGCAACTATTCTTCATTGCATGAAATGAAGATCATGCCTTCTGCTCCAACCTGGTGAAAACAAGGAGGTCCAAAGGAAAGTGCTGAGAAGTTCTTTGCTGCAAGACAATGCTCACCAAGAGATTATGAAAAAAACAGGAAAAGATAACATCTCCCTCATTCTTCTATTTCTAGGCCAGCAGAGAGGTACGGATTGGTTGACCACCTTCATCAGATTACAAGCTTCTCTAACAGCTATTGTACAGTCAGTGCAAATTTTAGTATTTTCAGAAGCTAGCAATGAAAGACAAGATTTCTTGTTGTATTTTTAGTAGAAAGCCTGGGAAGAAGTGACTGAAGGAGCAAAGGCTGCTCTTTCTGATATCTTCATAAGATATGATTTCCATTTTCAAGCTCAGAAGCACATCAAATAAAACCAGCTGTAAAACGATGTGCACTTTAATGGTGCCTAACAGAGGGAGATACACAGGTTGCAAGCTAGTTGCCAGGGTAACCATAAAGTCTATAACCATTTTGCTGAAAAAAAAAAAAAGTCAGTACCAAAAGACCAGTGAAGATTGAACTTGCAATGAAAGTGAACTCTTCAGCTCATCAGAAAAGTGCAGTAAAGTTCAGCTGTCCTCTGGGCACATGAGACTGATTTATGGAACTGAAACACAATACCTTCTCTAAGCCCTAAAAGAGAAGCTGAGCATACGGAACATACACACTAGGAAGCTAGAGTGGAAACTGAATTTGCAATGCTATCCAAGTACTGTTGTACATTTGTGCCATCTCCTAATAGAGCAACCAGGCCTGACAAGTGGTGACTTGTCTCTTGACGGAGAAACTTCTGCTTCTTTATTTTCTAACAGTCCTTGTTCAGTCTCATTTTTTCATACCTTACCTTTGTATGTGGCCAGTTTGTAAGGGACTGCAAAAACTTCCACATTTTCATTTATTTTCCCTTACTTTGTGGAGAAAAAACCCTTTAAATTACGGTAGCAATAGACCAGCAGGAGAAAGCAACTTCTACATCAGCACCTTTGATGCATTCTACTTAGCATGATAGATAGCTCACAGAGGGACTACTCTAAGCTCTTAAAAATGTAAACACTGATAACAAAAGGAGTATGATTACAGCAAAAACCTTAAGTCACTTATCCTTTGCTGAAAAGATCCACTAATGTACTTCGAGCAGCAGCAATATCAGACGCTTGCATGTACTTGCACTGCAGAGTAAACTGCTTCACAAATGGAATCAAGTAAGGACAAAATAATTAATACCCTGCTACAGCTACAGGTTGTGTTTCTCTGGATGAGACTGTAAAATGCACCAAGGAAGATGCCAGTTGTCTGATATATTCGTGCTACATAGTTGTTCCTTTGCTGGAAAAAGAAAAGCTGTGATTGCAGATGTATTTGAGGATTTGCATCTCACACGGCAAATTTTAAGGAATGCTCTGGGAAAAATAAGGAGATATACACTTTTTGTACTTCTAATGCATGGCATCTTTGTTCTGAAGATGTTTAAGAGTACAGTTCAGTGTGCTAGGTGAAAATGGTGAAAGCTTTAAAAGGAAAAATGGCACATGGTAAAAAAGGAGGTGATTGGTGGCAGCCAAAATGGTTTCACTAAGGGCAAATCCTGCCTGACAAATTTGGTGGCCTTCTATGATGGGGTTACAGCATTGGCGAATAAGGAAAGAGCAACTGACATCATCTATCTGGACTTGTCCAAGGCATCTGACACTGAACCACACATCCCTGTCTCTAAATTGGAGAGATATGGATTTGACTGATGGACCACTCAGTGGATAAGGAATAGGCTAGATGGTTGCACTGAGATAGTTGCAGTTCAATGGCTTGATGTCCAAGTGGAGACTAGTGACGAGTGGTGTTCCTCGGGGTCAGTGCTGTTCAACGTCTTTGTCAGCGATATGGACAGAGGGATCGAGTGCACCCTCAGCAAGTTTGCAGATGACACCAAGTTGTGTGGTGTTGTGGACACGCTGGAGGGAAGGGATGCCACCCAGAGGGACCTGGACAGGCTGCAGAGGTGGGCCTGTGAGAACCTCATGAAGTTCAATAAGGTCAAGTACAAGGTCCTGCACGTGGGTCGGGGCAATCCCACGCACAAGTACAGGCTGGGCAGAGAATGGATTGAGAGCAGCCCTGAGGAAAAGGACTTGGGAGTGCTGGTGGATGAGAAGCTCAACATGAGCCGGCAATGTGCGCTGGCAGCCCAGAAAGCCAACCGTATCCTGGGCTGTATCAAAAGAAGCGTGGCCAGCAGGTCGAGGGAGGTGATTCTGCCCCTCTACTCTGCTCTCGTGAGACCCCACCTGGAATACTGTGTTCAGCTCTGGAGTTCCCAACAGAAGGAGGACATGGAGCTTTTGGAGCAGGTCCAGAGGAGGGCCACGAAAATGATCTGAGGGATGGAGTACCTCTCCTATGCAGACAAGCTGAGAGAGTTGGGGTTGTTTAGCCTGCAGAAGAGAAGTCTCTGGGGTCACCTTCTAGCTGTCTTCCAGTACCTAAAGGAGGCCTACAAGAAAGCTGCAGAAGCCATGTAGTGACAGGACACGGGGCAACAACTTTTCACTGAAAGAGGGCAGATTTTGATTAGATATAAGGAAGAAATTTTTTACAACAAGGGTGGTGAAACACTTGACCAGGTTGCCCAGAGAAGTTGTCGATGCCCCATCCCTGGAAGTGTTCAAGGCCAGGTTGGATGAGGCTTTGAGCAATGTGATCTAGTGGAAGGTGTCCCTGCCCATGGCAGGGGGGTTGGAATGAGATGATTTTTAAGGTTCCTTCCAACCCAAACCATTCTATGATTCTATGATTTACTACTTTTACTGAGTGTCCCTTTTTAGAGATAGAGGAGGAAAGTATTGACAAGGATTCAAGAAAAGTACTTTACCTTCTCCGTAATGATGCGGTTTACACATTGTTTCCCAGTAAGTGGTAAATTGCACTTCTCCAAGATTTTATGGACATTGCCCTGTGTTTAAAGACATACAGACAAATACTAATTCTCAAAACAACAGAAATTACTCAGAATTCAAATACGTAGACAAAAAAGGAAAGTAGCCATTTAGTGTTATTTAAACATTCACTGTACTCAGAACATTTTGAATTCACTTCTATGGCAGACTAAATCTCTGGCAATTTGGGACAGTTGTTACTGAAATCCCACATGTAGGGAGATGACTAATAAGAATCTCACTGTACCACTGAGTGGGCTCCTGAGTTTAGAAGTTCTGCACACTTCTGCTTAATAATTTGTCTTTCCTGCTGCAATATGCGGATAAGAGACACATGGGACCTCACCAATGACACAAAAAGGACAAAAATCAGGGAAAGACATTGTGGGCATGACATTTCTCTGTCTTTTACTTTATTACAAACAGTATATGCAGGATCAGCCATACACATAAGCATTTCGAATCCCCAGGGCTCAAATGCATAGTCATCCTCTGAAAATAGTAAATCCAGTTTCTTTACCCACACTGAATTCCCATTCCCTCCATCTCTGCAGAAAAGCCCAAAAGCAGACTAAGAGATGAGTGCAATACACTCGTCTTCGAGTGCTACACCGAAGTTACATTATCTCTGTTTTCAACAGAACAAATTAGCACGCAAATGTAGTAGAAGAGAATCTATATATAGAAAATAAGATTTACTTTAAGGCACTTCCTCTTCTGCGGCCTGAAATGTCAGCTACTCTAAATCCTGCTAAAAGTATTATCTAATGAGAAGACATAGCTCCTGACATGAAGCTGGGCAGATATGGTTTGTATGGTGAGGTTTTTGGGTTTTTCCTTTCTCTTTTTTTTTTTAGGTTCCTTCCAACTCCTTTCTTTTTTTTTCCTTTCTTTTTTTTTCTTCATTTTTTTTTAATAGAAATTCCCGAATGGCTTTAGATCCTGCTAAATGCATGTAGGCTGCAAGAGCTCTGAACGGCTTTAGATCCTGCTAAATGCATGTAGGCTGCAAGAGCTCTGAATGGATACAGAAGAGATGGATCACTACATTTTTAGTCAGTATTTGTAGGCGTTTTACAAAGGTAGCATTAAGTGCACATTTCTCTTATTATCACATGCTTTTATTTTTTCACTAATTATCAATTTTCGTTATGTATTTCAAAACTCTCAGAGTAACACATCTCATTTAACAGCCTGAATGCAATACCTTTTAAATTTACAATCATCAGTTTGCCTTAAGGTTTACTTAACTCAGGAACCATCCCTCAGCCATTTTGACTCCTAAGCGGTAACAAAATGAGCAATCCATGTGCTTTTGAATTTATCTTTTTCTGCGAAGAACTATTTCTTCATTCTAATTCTAATTATACTGGCAAGATCCGCATTTGGTATCAAGGCAACTACTAGATGATCTTTAAGGTCCTTTCCAACCCTAACCATTCTACTCTGATGAAACTCAGTCACTCGTAATGAAAAAAATTACTTGAGACAGCGCTACTTGCAACTGATCCACCTTATTCATCTCGAGGACCTTCCTGTGCACTCTGCCTAAGAGCCAAGATTAATCTGTGCTATACGTAATATTTTCAGTAAGATATCAGGTATACTTCTCAGACATATGAAATGAAGTATCTCTTCTTGGTACCCAATTGAGATTGAAATGCATGGACTTGCAGAGATGACAGCTTGAATGGCTCCTGTGACCCCGAGAACTGATACATTCCAGCTTCTCAAGACTTACGCTGAAGATTATCGTAGCATAAAAGGTGACCTTTGAAAGACAGCCATCAGGGCACTATCAGAATAGGAATCCAAACAGAACTGCATAAATTTTTACCATCTGAGTTTATATGGGATTTGTTCAGAAAAAGGAAAAGACTGTTGTGTAGATACAGAAAACCTTAAGGTGTTTCAGCCTGCTTTAAGTTAAAAAATCTGTTGATGATGAACAAAAATGTCTTTAATCTTTCACAACACATCAAAATCAAAACTATTCTCAATGATAGAAAGGAGTTTTCAATTCAGTGCTCCATGTTTCAGTGACATCCAAATCAAGGTCTTAAAAGTAGCTTCCATTCTGTTTTTCTGAATGGCATAGACAACTCATTTCACAACATGGAACAATTACCAGTCATTACTTTACTATGTTTTGCAAAGCATGTCAGTGATGGTATGGGGGTAAGAACTTGACTTTTATTTCTCTTTGGCAATGTTTAGCAGATTAGGCACAGATGCACACTGATTGTTTAGAGATTAAATAATGACCTTTCGCTCTATTATTTTTCTACATGGTTATAAACAAAAAAGTAATTTAGCAAAAAATACATTAAGAAACACCATGATGAATTAGACGTAAGGTCAATTTGCCAAGTGTCTCACACTGGCGTAAGCATATGGAGCAAAAATTGAGCCACACTTCCACAGATATGCTCTCCTGGTTCTCCACATGTTGTGAGGTACAGATTTCCAGAGCTAGAGACTGCTTCTGGGCAATGCTATGTACTTGTCACTGATGAACTCAACCTCATGAAATGGTTTAGTTCCTTTCATATAGACTTAACTCTCTGAGCTCCTGTATCATCCTGCTGATCATCCACAACTACATTAGCTGGCTGTGGAAAATGTTTCTTGTTGTTTTAAACATGCTGGTTGCTAATTTCAATTCATTATCCCTGCTTCTTTTATAAGGCAGTGACTAGCCATTCTGCATCCATCTTCTCCAAGCCTTATTATTTTACGTATTTCTATGTTATCCTTCCTTAACAGTGCTTTTTAAGCTGAAGAGTGTTCTACAAGATTCATTTCATGTTCTGTCATCTTCCTTCTATACATTTTGGTTTTCATTACATGTAAAAATTTTAATAATTTAAAAATGTAAATAATTTGGGACAGAAGGTATTTAGTTTTAATTGTAATATACTGCATATCAGAGTTTAAAAAGAGGAAAATTCTTTTAGTATTTATTTGAGTACTGAAGGTACTCTGTATATCCCATACCTTCCACTGTATTTCCATTCATCAAATCTTGACTGCTGTTGATTTACAGGAGACCTAATAATAGATGTCTTATTATTTACTTGGAGAATCAGATGACAAAAATGTTTACATACTAAAAAGTCAGCAGACACAGCAGCTTGCCACCGTACATGTAGACACTTCTTTCACTCAGTAACACACTGAGCTCTGAGCAGGGTCGACGACTGCTCTTCTGATGCACAGATATAGATGAAATGTGTGGTTTTTTGTTTTTGTTTTTGTTTTTGTTTTTAAAAAAAAAAGGAAAGAAGAAAAGAAAAAGAGGGGCACCTGAAAACTGTTACAGAAACTTTTGACTTCTGAACATTAGATTTCCATATTTCATCATCTTCACTTTTAAACAAACAGGAAGCAGCAGTATGAAGATCCCAAAAAGAGGCCAGGTAAGAGGAAAGAGCACCAAGAACACCTTCCATTTTAAAACAAGAATAAAATGAAAAATCATGCACATAGTTGATTTTTGCAGTACCTTCTTGCAAAAGCAGAAGAAATAATTTATGAAAGCCTATAATTTGCTCTCTATAAGTGCATACTAGGCATCCCATGTACATAAGAGCCTAAGCTATGTATTCATACACCAAAATAAATGTCTATGCCTGGACTGTTTGTAACAGTGAACCTATCTGTGTTTCCATCTCTTTCAGGTTTCAGTACTCCTACGGACAAAAACACAACATGCAAACAACTTCCAAACACTCTACTGAAAACAGATTTTGGTAACAGTACTTTTAAGAGAAAAACTGGCATGAGTAATTACACTGTGTGTGGACTCTGAGCCTTAACCAAATTCCACAGTAACTAGAAATACAGCATAAATATTTATTCTGATCACATTAATAACTGAAGTATGTGTCTGAGTGAATGCATAATAACATATCCAGTTTTTGTGAGGCTGTGAAAGGGATGTGAGTCATAAAGATGAATTTACTTTGTACTTGTGTTTACTTATTTACACATATGCATGTGAAAAGTATTGGGTCAGACTCAGCCTTGTTACTGAAAATGTGCCCTTTGAGATCACAGTTTAGTATAAATTGTGAAACTTCTATATTTTTCAACTTTTTTTTTTAAAGTGAAAATTCATTTTTCAAATCACATTTAAAAACCACAAAACTGTCAATATATTTAGCTTTCATATTTACATATTTACTATAGTTTACCATGCAAATTCCATGCTTGCTCTTATGCATTCTGACAGGGATATTATCTTGAACAATGTACAACTAATTTTTATTCCAGACATAAAACAAATTTGGAATAACAGAAACACAGAAATTAAACAAAAAGTTCATTTTTAAACACTCGCTTTAGTTCCTTGAAAACAGAGATTTTTGTCCTTCAGTACATTTTTCTCATAGTTTTGACAGTCCCATTTCAGAAGCTACAAATGACAAGTTTCCTACAACCTTCTGTGCGAGACTGTTTGTCGTAGTTTTATCTATAAAACTCCCCTCAACAAAGAAGTCTCTAGATTAACCTCTGTCACATAATGATGTAAAGCAGCCTGCATCTCATCATGCCAAAAAGATCTATTCTATTAAGCTGTCAGTACCAATTTGACTGGCAACTTCAAAGGTAAATATCTTTCCATCATAACAAGTATTTAACCATGGGGAACGTCATGTTTCAAATTATTCTGAGGTGAAGAGTAAAACCTCCGCGGTACCATCCACTGTAGCTCTGGCAATTGCCGCTCTCATTAAATTTGCATGAAGAAACTAAAAAATGTGTGCGGCTTTTAAACATCAAGTTAATATTTCATTTTTTTCCATGGTGAATGACTCACTTACAAGAGGAAAGGAACCATACTAACCCAGTCCCCTGTTGCACCTCCGTAATAACTCACAGCAAAACTGTCAAATCCTCACAAAGCAGCAGAACGAATGTAAGATGTCTTCTTTTTTTGGTACAACACAAAACACTTATTTAGAAAGCAGTGGTAGAGCCTTACCTTGGCTGAGTGCTCCATGGTGACAACCACTTTGGTCTGCGCACTGGATACCAGGTCCATGGCACCCCCCATTCCTTTCACCATCTTACCCTAAAATCAAATTTTTTAATGGAAATGTAATATTTTTTCACTTAAAAAAAAATAAAAGAACATATTAGCTGCAGTGACAGCACGAGATATTCACATCTTTCTGCACAGAAAGTCCACCTACTTCATCACCACTGTTTTCAAACACATAGAGCCTCACCAGAGCAGAATCAGCTGTCTCATTCTAGGTGCTATATGACGCAAATAGGAGAGGACTGAAGAGTGAAATAAGGATCCACTGCCATGGCTGGTGCCCTGGGATGTAACTTAAATCTGAGTAGTACCATTGGCTTAATGGAAGTCCTGACACTGAGGAGCAATGAATTTAGTTCCAGTGGTTCTGACATTAGAAAAGTAAAGTGTTCATTCTCCTGTTGATAAAAATATCATTACTTCCTCAAAAGAAATGTTTCTTTGCTTATGAAATGTAGCAACAAGAACACATTAGCACTCCCCACCTGCCGTGGCTTGTATCCCTGTATCAGCACAAACATCTTTTTGTTGTATTGCAGGTGTTTGATGCTTTCATTTCAGAACACGGGCAAGTAAACAAATGTTGATCAGTATTCACTTCTGTTTGTCCCTCAAACCCAGCAATCCTTTCTGCCTCTGTGACTCATTCTTCTCTCAAAGAGAGTTAGAATTGCACCTGTTATCACAGCAGCTGTATTACAGCTTGGTGTTCAGCTATCTCTATTTTTACTTTCCTTAATGCTACAGCATTCAACCCCTGCCTGCTTCCACCACCTTAAACTGAAAGCATCTGATCTTGGAAGGTAAGAGGACCAGACTTGGCACACTCCTGATGGGAAACGACTGCAAGTACAAAGTTCTATCAATATGAGCAGAGCAGTCATTTTTGGACAACAAGGACTAGACTTCAAAAACCAAAGAAGGCAACAACCTTGTATGCCACTCCAGACTTGCTGAGGAGGGCAGAAAGCAGCATGGAACATGAAAGCATCTGCATGATACGGGAGGTTAGTAGGAAATACGAGGTGAGGAATTTTACAGATTAAAATTAATTAATTTCTGTCTCAATTGTTTTGTATTTGCCCTCTTTTGACTGGTTATTATCTACAATTGAAATAAATTATGGACAGTAATACAATGTACACTGTTTTACATATAAAACCTAAAAGAACACGGTTAAATGACTGGAAAACTTCCTAGTATAAAGCTTTTCTCTTATGCTTCCTTTTGTTAGCTATGTGATTCAGTACCTTACTAGTATCAGTAACTATGGTCCATGATATAAAACATACAGAAGAGACTTGTCTCATTAAGCTGCCACGCCAGCAACTTACTGGTCTCTCGATCATTATGGTCTCTTCATCATAATGAATGGAATATACACCTCTCTCCCTCCTCCCCAAAATCATATTTTATTACTGTTTGCATGGTGATGAATAAATCACATCTTCCTGTATCTAGAAACAACCCCTTTGGAATTTCTCAGGTCAGATCAGTATTTAATATTAATCACATTAATTAACATTACTACTAAATAATTCTTTGCAAATACAAACCTCAAAAGGATAAGAGTATTTATCTCTGTCCTTAAATTCCTGGCACTGCTTGGATCATTCTCCACCCTACCTGGAAATGCAGGGCTCTTACAGAGACTGCAGTGACCTCCCACCTGCCTGCCAGAGGCTCTCTGTGACGATAATGCAGAGTATCCGAACACTAAGGATTATCTCTCCAGTAACTCAGAATATTGAGGATTATGCTATCAATACACCTGTCCTGACCATGCCATTGGTTCATTTTCCAGGTCTTTTAGTTCTATTAACTGGTAAAGGCCTACAGCAACAAGAAAAAAATCTGAAGAAGTGCGTGCCGATGAAGGACAATGACAAATCTGTGGAGAAGCTGTAGAAGCTACATGACTGAGAGAAGAGACTACATCCCTTTGTGTACGCAGAAGCAGGAAAATGTTGAGGAGAAGGACTTGGGGACCTTTAAATTGCTACATCTGCTCCTCCTCTTGAGGCAAACATACTCATCACTGTAGGGTGCCTAGTAAAACAAATCAATTAACAATTAACTTCAACTAGCCAAGTAATTACACGCTTTTATTTTGAGGAATATCCAAACATAAGAGCCTCACATTGCTCTCAGTGCACCTACCAAACTCTCACAACTTGCGCTTACCCCCACACCATAATAGCACAGGGAACAGCTGCATCCTAAATTTGAATTAAAACGCTTGAGACTAAAAGGTGATTCCCAAAAGACATTTTGTTCCTTTTTGCCTAGGATAAGCATGCAGACCAAAACAGTTCTGAAATTTGTAAACACTGCACATTTACAAACAACAAGCAATTCCTGTTTCTTTTAAATTTTAATAGCATACTTAATTGCATCTGACATAAGTCAGACTTTTTTATTTGAATTCTTTGCATGTAATATGCAGTCTGTCATAAAAATAAACATTTTTTCCTCCTGAAGACCGCTTGCAACAGCCACCTCTGCTGTGAAATCTCTGAAAAAAACTGAATAGGATTTGTAGTGCTGCATTCCAGCTGAAGTGGGATTTCCACATTTCACTTCAACAAAATGTTGATTTTTATTTATTTTTGATTGAACAGGCCAACTGCAGACAGTAAAACTGTTCACTCTTTGTTACTTGATAAAGCATTTAAGTGTAATGTAATAAACTGTAAAAAGCTAAATTGTTTTAAACAATTCACTAAAAAAAAAAAAAAGTATTTCAAATAACTGTTGAAGTACATTTGCAGGTTTCCTGACCCTTCTTACCATACTGGTAAGGTCCAGGGTTCGTATGCTCCCCACCACATTTATTTATTTAAGATTATTTTTTTTAGTTCCCAATTACCTTGGTGCCGCTAGATCAAGAAACCACAAGGAAAGACTTAATTTCAGTAGTAGAGCACCAGTAATTTGAAGCAGTATTATAAAGCCCATTTCATCAGCAAGGGCTTGAAGTCAGAAGGTTTTTGAATTAGCCATGCACTTCCTGGGAGGTCCAATGCTGGTAATATTTATACAGATGGTTAGGTAGAAAACAGAAACAAGCTGACAGTTTCCTTGTATCTTCTCATCTACCATGAAAATTCCATATGCAGGGAGGAATTCTGCTTTGCTCATTATGCTTCATCAGCAGTTCTTGCTAAGTCTCAGTCCAAATAATCTTGGGTGAAAATTCACGGACCTGATGGATTTTTATTTTTGTTTCAATTACAATACTCAGCTCCTCTGCTTCTTCACAGCCATAAAACCACTCAAAAATAGCTGAATTTCTTATAATGCCTACTTATTGCAAAATAAATTATTTTGTTACTGTGGTGATGTAGCATCTTTAAGAAAATGTTAGAGAAGGGTATATATTTTCTCACCTGATGTCTTCATATCTGAATTGTCATTCGAGTGGTCAAAATACAACATTAAAGAGCCTGAGAAAGTTATTTAGCCTAATAGGAATTCCTAACTGAAACCTTCCTGTTGGTTTGATCACTTGTGGCATCCAAGATGATCTCTGGTGTTCCAGCAGAAGCTTGTGAGTACTCAAAAGTCGGTGAAAAAGTCAAAATATTTTTCAAAGTGAAATTGAATGTGAAGTTTTTTCCACAATGGTATTGCAAGCTAGAAAGATGCTACAGCAAGAAGGAAACAATTTATAAGAAAATTCAAACATACTAGAAAGAGGTGGCTGAGAGAAAAGAGGAAAACTCAGGAGCCTTCAAACACTATTAAGGTCTTAAATCCGTGCTGGTGTCTTACATTTTTCCTCTATATTCCCAGGGGGAAGGACTTTTGTTCCGTAACTGAATTTTATAGCTACTCCCAACATGCATCTGAACTGATCTGGTTATGTTAAAAGAACATAATCTTTTGAGACAAACACACATCAACAGTACAGCAAAGCAGATGCTAATGATGTGTTTAAGAAATAGCGAAAACTTATCAGTGGTAAGTAAAGGCAGAGTTTGAAGGATTAGAATGCAGATGGAAAGAAAAGCTTGAATAATTTCATTCAAAACTGAGTATCAAAGGACAGACATGGTGCAAATGTATACTGGTTTGAAAAGGAACTGAGCTATTTCTCTGTTCCCTCTCACGTTGCCACCTCCTCTAATATTGTATTAAATAAACAGCTTTTGGTTGAATGTCTTTCCTTCCATTAAATAAAAGAAAGAATACATATGCCTCACACTATGCTCAAAGTTAGTAAAACTATTCTTTCAAAAACTCTTAGAAGATAACGAATGCTTCTAGTTTAAACTACACTCCTCATGCAAGCTTCCTATTCAACTTGAATTTTTGGGCATCCCCCTGGAAGATCTTGAAAAAGCTACCTATGATAGAGAGTAAAAATTATAAGAATGTCAGTGGCATACTGGATAAATCTGAAGATTAAGTGTTCTGAAATATAATTTCTTGTCCTATTTTCCACCGATTTTTTGTCCTTATATGGCACAATTACAGAATTATTGTAATTATACTGTCAATCACAACAGCTAGAAAAGATTTTACTCTGAGAGTACAACTGAATAAACATTACCAAGAAGCACTGGGAAATCATTAACAGGATTTTTGAATTAGTAGTTGATAATGCAACAACACAACAAAGAGTTAATATTGACTGAATGCCACAAAGCTGAGCACACTCTACATGCACAACAGGTTGAAGTTATTTTTTAAAGGATGTCCAAAATAAAGATTTAGATGTATGGTTTAGCCATACAGAAAATGCCCTGATTTTCAAGAATGCTAGCCAGGTATCTCCTCACACACACACATAATGAAAAGCAAAATTTAAAAGTAAGTCTAATCCTTGAAAGACTGGAACATAAGCTCCTAAGTGACTGATATTTCTTGGAAAAATATATTAATAACTATTCCCTAAAATGTAGCTTACACAAATATGTGCACTAACTATATTTATATTTTTACTTTCCATCACCAGAAAATTAAGGCAGCATAAAACACGTGCAAAGAAAGTCGGTCAAATTTTATTCCTCTATTCTCCCATAAAA